GGGGGGATGCTCATTCCTTACCACAAACCTTCCTTGGCAGAACATTTCTTTTGTTCTCTCTGATTGGGCTATGGAAATGATTATTATCTTGATTGATTTGATTTATTATTTGCTTTAGTTTTCTTCTTCTATAGCTACATCGAATGAAATCATCCTCTTCATCACCTCCAAGATAAAACCCTATTAGGAACCCCATAAGGAAAACCGAACCGTTTCTCGCATTATCTCGGGAACACAGCAACGTCTATGGGAGCGACATGTAAGTGTGGAAGGAAAGAACTGCAGGCGATATGCTCTTCATGCCCCCAGACAAACCATTCACCATTGAATCAGCTCATGAAAATGGAAAGCAGTGATGACGTAAGTGGCTTGATCGTAGAAAATTGAAAAGCGCCCAGTGACGCCTCCAAGCATCACATCGACCTTTTCAAACGCTTTCATATCTCCTTCACCACTCACCAATAAAAGCAAAACAAAATGATGATCATGAGAAAATTGGATTAAACGTTCGTTCATTGATTGGTCACGGGTTTGACAAAACTATCGGCACCACAGAGAAAAAGCACGAACCTCAGCAATTTTTCTTTCGAGTTGACGACACGTCTCGCTCATATCGGCCTCTTCCCGCTCGCGCATCTCGAACTCGCACACTTTTGCCATCAGCTTCTCGTTTTCCTCTTCGAGGACTTTGCATTTTTGGTCGAGGGCTTTTGTGCGTAGACGGTCTTCTGCAAAAACAGAAAAACTTCTTGAGATGATAGGTGCCTAGTTGAGTTTATGCGTGAAAGCGTCTCCGCATTCAGTGATTGATACTGCGAAATGCAAAGTTGGTTTATAAGAAACGACGCCAACATAGGCATCTCGTGAAAGGGAATTTCCAAAATTATGACTTCCTCACGTACGCCTTTCATCACTGCATGTTTGACTTTTTTTGCTGATGTTTTCTTTCGAATACAAAAAAATTCAAATTAACAATCTGTACAATGGACGGAGTTGCTTCATTAGAGATCGCCTCAGGATCCACCAAATATTTGGAGTTATTATGGAGCGCAATGAGCGTAGGCAATTGAAGAATGCGAAATTCATTGACATTAAGGACTCCCTACTCATCACAAGAGAAACAGGTAATTGAGTTGATTCAAACCTATCTGGGACACGTAATCGGGAGGCCAGCTGAGTAAATATTGTACAGTGTACAAGCTCAATAGAAAGCATTTCAAAATATCTTGAGTGTTCCTCCCTCACTTAATGAAATACCGCTATCGAAAAGAATTATAACAATCTATCTGAAAATCGGCATGACAGTGGAATTCATTTCCACTGGCGAAAATCGATAAGAAGCTATTCAAACATTCGGCGTTCCCGTGGCCTGATTCTGAAAATTGGAGATGTGCCGCAGTTTTTCTTGCTTGGCGTTGGGTGGCCATTAAGATGGTTTCGAAGGTCTGGAGGATCTTCGGTCGATAATCTACTTATTTGGTTCCATCCTTTCAGAACCTAAAGAAGGCGAGTCTGCCGAAATGTTGGCCATAAAAAGGTTTACTAATCTCGGGCACTGCTGAAGTAATGAAGCTGTTCTGATAAAATGTTAATATCAATGGAGAGCAGTACTTGGAGTTATGTCAACTTTCTTTCTCATAGAATCTATAATTACACTTTATCACTTAAATTTGAATCTTGCATACTGTCATTCTAGCTTTGACCAGGGTTCCTTCTAGTCCTTCTCTGATTAAGGAGTTACTGTCAATGCACTACCGAATGGAGTATAAAGAATATATTTTATGTAAACTAAATCATTGTTGAAAGAACTCCTCACTTCTCTTTTCTCAAACAAAACAGCTTTTTTCGATGCTTTTTCGGCTCAATACGAAAGCCATGGATTTCCGTCAGCAAGGACTGGAACCCGTTTCACAAAAAACCTTAACCTCACAAGATCTCCTACAAGAACTTCTCTAACATAAGTTTTGACTAACACCCCTAACTGAGCTGTTTTTGTTTTCCTAGACAATCGATAGTCGAGTAAACAACTGTAGAAATTTTCGGTAGCCGATAATCCTTACACAGTCTCGGAAACCGGATTAGCATTCGCCGTTGTAACGTACCGTGCGTGGTTCCATGACACGTCGAACGAGCACGTGCCCTGCACTTTAAACAGCCCGACGGCAGCTATGAGTTGTCGTTCCTTCTCCACGGTTACCCCTTTGTCGATTGATCGTGATTTTCCGAGCATTTCGAGTATGCCTTTCACTTTACCCATTCCTCCATGTTTCCCACAGGGCACATTTGGAGCACATAAAGGGGACAAGTTCAAAACTTCAACCCCAAGGACATCTCGGACGCATTGCACGAAACCGGTCATTGCAGCCGCCCCTTCCTGTCCTATGAAGCCCACCCCTTATCATCGCTCTAATAGCAAACATCACCTGACCTGTAGTTTATCAATTGGATTTCCCGTTTTTTCTATTTAAGGTTTATTGAGGGCGGTTCTAGTTGATCAAAGATTCGAACCACTCAGCCGTTTAGTCCCATAGAACACATTGATCGTAGCTCAGCTTGTTCATCGTGATAAAAATCGATTGTTAGCAGCGAATTCCATTTACATGGACACCCGAGTTCCGCCCGCTTTGGTTGAAAAGTGACTCATTCTGTTTTCCTGGTGGTCGTATGTGAGCCTCCTCGCCTCTGTCCTCATTTGATCGATTGCCGCAGTTTTCGTTCGTTTTTGTTGGCGAGGATTTTATGCGTAATCTGTTCAGCCGACCGCTCCCGACCGTTCCTCATCATCGTCCCCCTTCACGTTGAGTGTTTGGGACAGCGCAGTCCATTCTCCGTGGATGATGGCTGCTTCCGACACAACTTCTTGTCCGGACTGTCATTCTCGTACCGTGCGTTGGAGAAATACCTTGTCAGGTCTCCTCTGGGCGATATTCTGTTTTCCATGTGGGATCTACTGCTGTCTTAAACGTAGACAGCAACATTGCTCCCAGTGTGATTGCGATGTGAGTCCATGCTTAATTGGCTATTTTAAATTGTTTCGTTGTATTCGACACGAACAGATCGATACTGTAACGGCGTGAAAATGGCGTCAGTGGCAGTCATGCCTTTGCTGAAACCACTGACTACACCCTGTAAACACTATTCCATTACTACTGCACAGTTCCGTAGCCGATAACGGGAGAAAGAAATTCGTTTTGTCACCAAAAACCAATTCCCATCACTTTTGTCTTGTCGCTTGCAAAAACCACAGTCTTCTGTCAAGGTTTGCTGCGCTTGTGTCTTCGAATATTTGGATAGTTGAGCCCCATCTGATCGTGACTGGTGAATTCTAAAGATTGGAAACGCTTTCAAAAATGGGATTCCATACTTTCCAGAAGATGCCCAATGCGATAATTAGCAATGAATCCTCCGATTATGTTCCTTTAGTCGAAAATAAAATGCGAATATGTTTTATCATTCAAAAGTGGGTGCATTTTTAAAACTTCGGGATTTTTTTTTTGATAATATGCCGCACTTTCATTTTTAATGGCTGCATTCATCAGAATAGCTACCAAAACTGCTCAGATGTCATGAACGAAAACTGCATTAGCAACTACTTTCATCAAAGTAGCTATAGAGATCCCTCTTCGTCAAACTTTTTGTCTCTATCCTCCCAATCAAATCATCTGACCCGCTAACTAAACAGAGCTCTTTTTTAGACTCAATATTGACGCAATGGAACACGGTTAATCTCAATAAATAACCACCCACGGGCAGTCGTTCCCACTTGATCAATACAATTATACTCCTACTCATTCAGGTGATCAAATCCTCACGTGATGCACAAAAGGATTCATTCGGCTACTCGTTCCGAGGATATCAAACAATGGAGAAAGGCATACCAGCATCTTTGGCCGTTGCCTACAGGAATTCTGCGTATACTGCAAGTTCCCAATCCTCAACAGGGATCCCTGAGGCTTCGTGCAATTCGAGGACTGACCTAATCGATGTGTAGCATTATGTACATCCTATGCTTAATCAGCTTTTCAGTGACTACCGGTGCCAGTTGTCAGGTGCCGAATGCGGCGATTATTAATTTTCCGTTTCCTTTGTCGTTCCAAAGCAGCCAAATGACCGATATTTTGTTCTACGGGTTCACTTATAAACATTTTCTTTTGGATTTTTCGTTACATTTGAACTCAACTAAAAGTTTTGAGGGTTCCATATCATCTTTTTATAAAAACAGCGTGTCTGCAGGAAACGCTGTATCTCTTACGACCCTTGTTTCAATCGGTTTTACTTGCCGCTATTACAATACTGGGGGTTTCCCATTCGCAGAGAGTAACGTCTCCCAATTAGTTCTATTTTGACTTGTCCTCTCCCCCACATGTCACTGCAGGGAAGTCACAGGAAAATCAGAGCTCTAAGCAAAGGTCTGCGTAGTCTATTCCGGTCTATAAAAAAAAAAGTCCGTGGCTCATCAAACGCAAGCGAAAGCAAAGCAAAGAGCTGCAATCCGCAAGCAATTTCAGTAGGTGCACTCTCTTGAAGAGGTCCACAGTAATATTTGGGGTCAAAGAAGCTATGGGGACACCTTCGCGAATCTCGTCTCAAGGCGTTTCTGCAAAGAAGACTAGAACAACTCACCATTCGATCGCCTGTCGATTTGTTCCTTCTCCTTCTCAAGTGCCCTCAATTTTGTCTCAAACGCTTTAGATCGTAGAAGAGAGCGATGATCGATCTAAAGTTCTTCCATTTAATTATCAATTCGTATTTCTCAAATTGTTTAAGATTGACCAATAGAAGTCTAC